AAAATATCGAAAGTCGAATTAATTTTCCCCATAAGAAATAATGGAAATCAAATTAATCCGAGCAAGACACCCAAAAGTATGAAAACAAAAATTTACCACATGAAATATTAAGTTTAATGCAATAGAATAATTACAATAACAATAGATTCATAACAATAGAATAATTGACACTTACCTTTAATGAAGATCTGGTGATGATTGATGGGATGGGAGGGGAGAGTGTGGATGGTGTTAGTGTTTAGAAGGGGAATCCCCTTCCATTAAGACTTGAACTGGCAGCCTCACCATGCCTTACCACACTGTGTATGCCACTACGATTCTTAAATCTTTCAAACCAACCTTTGCTGGCCTTAACTTCACTCACATCACCACTAGTTGCAGGCAATTTCTTTACCAAATCATCATGCACTCCGACACACGCACTCTACTTTCGTACTTTGCAATTATCTTTCTTCATTTCGATAGTCATTAGCACCTTTTTTCTCGAAGGGTTGGCACTAGAAGCTTTCTTGGGGTCCATGGTTACTTATTTTGCAGAAACAAGCACCAAAAACAGTGATAATATGGATAATATGGAATGTACCGAATGTATCCTTAGATGCGCGCACACTGGCTGGCTTGTAAACACTGGCACACACGGGGCAGTTAAGGGCACACGTGGACACGTCTCGTACGAATCATATCGAATGTCGAGGCGAAATTTTTGCGTTAAAATGCATCGAATGTCGGATTTATCCAATGTCGATGCCTTCAAATGTCGGGGGTCCACTGTACAGTGGTATCTTGGCTTACGAGTTTAATTCGTTCCGTGACCCAGCTCATAACTCAGTTTGCTCGTATAGTAAATCAAATCAAATTTCCTCATTAAAATTAATTGAAATGCCATTAATCCATTCCAGCCCTCCAAAAAACCACCCCAGTTTAACCTTTTGATTGTCGCGACCCCAATCCTAAAGTGTTTCTCTGTGTTGTAAAATAAAAAAAAAATTATTTTTTCTAATGAAATGATAGAGAATCTTTTCCCGATGGTATTGGCACCAAAAGTACGAAATTTGATGGAAAACTTACGGAATTACTTTCTCGCGAATTTAGTGATCTCAGCAATGTATACATATCGGCGATTTTGCCCACTTTGAGTACTATTTTCGGCCACTTCCATTGTTCCAGTTGACCAAACTCATAGCTATTTTTTTAGAACTCTATTTGTTCTATCGATTGAGTACAAGAAACTGCCCATTTACAGATTTCAGCTACCCAATAAAGTGGTCAGAATTTGGCAATTTGGTCAATTTCACGCAAATTAACCTTTGACTGTTTCGGTTGCATATATACGTCTTACGAGCCACCGTTTTTGACGTATACATGTAGTATATACTCATAAATTCTAGCGGCTACAAATCAAGCAGGAGAAAGCTGGTAGGCCCACATGTGAGAGAATGGGTCTGTGTGGTCAGTGTGCACCATATAAAAAAATCCTGCAGCACGCAGTGCTGCTAGAATTTATGAGTACACGTATATATACATAAAAAATGGTGGCTCGTGAGACATATATATACGACTGAAACAGTCAAAGGGTTAGTCCAAAGACACAGTTGGAGTTTTTTTTTTTTTTTTTTTCATGCACTGCATGCTGCAGGATTTTTTTTATACTGCGCACACCGACCCATTCTCTCACATGTGGGCCTACCAGCTTTGTCCCGCTTGATTTGAAGCTGCTAGAATTTTGGCATATTAATACGTCAAAAACATTGGCTTGTAAAACGTATTTATATGACCAAGACAGTCAAAGGGTTAAATTACTTCAATAATAAAGGCTGGGCTTCAAGAAATAAGTCAATAACTTACTTCCCAGATATTCGCCTGGAACATCAACCGGCCTCCTGACTCAGGAAAAAAAAAAATTCTGAGAAAATCGCTATTCTTTCAGTGTTTTCCTTATGGAACTAGTGATCTAGTGCAGTTAGCCTCAGAAAAACTCAATTTTCTCTTACCCAAGACCACAGAAAAGGTTATAGGAAGGAGCAGTAATTATTTTATATGCGAGATTGGTCATGAACACTCGCAATATTATGGCCTATTTTATTCATTCTAGGGTATATACAGGTCAGCCATAACTGATCCAGAATCATTGGAACCTTAGTGTGCCGGATTAGTGAGTTTGCCAGATTACAGAGTGGTTAGGTTAGAATACACTTAATTAACCTATCAATAGAGACTTTCTGCTACATCCTCATTTTCATAACTGCTTTCTCTTTCACTGGCTTGCTGCTGTGGATTCAGTATAATGGTGAAATTTGAGTCAGTATAATGAAATTTGAAATTTACTAGCCAAAATTATTGCTGGATTACTGATGGAACTGGATAACTGATTGCCGGATTAGTGATGGCCGACCTGTATCATGTTTTCTGTTATTTATTATGTCATGTTAGATCAATTGTGATAGATAAATAAGCCATAGAGTTGATATGAGCATTATATTGAAATATTTTCTCCTGCCTCCCAAGTGCCAGGAATTCCGCTGACGTCAACTAATTCTCCCAGGTGGTTCCTGATTGGCTGCCAGACTACGTAATAGCTCCGCCCACTCTTGTGATGCCAAATCATCAATTACTGTATTATCTTAGAATAATACAAGGAATAGCAGAAACAACAACGGAAAAAAAATCCTAAAAAATTTACAGGATGTGAGCAGTCATGTTGCTAGCTGCGGTGTCACCATACATGATATAAATGGCTATAATTTCTTGTAGAAATGTCATAGATATAAATGGCTATAATTCCTTGTAGAAATGTCGTAGAACATTGATTCTTGTACCATTGCGTTGCCAGTGAGTTAAGCTATTAACTCACTGGCAACTCAATTTCCATAATTTTTCGATTTTTCTTTTTTTTTTGCTCACGCACTGCACACCCCATGCCTCCCCTGAAGCTTATTCATAACTCGGATTTTGGCTCACAATTCAAAGCAAAAAATCGACCGAGCGATGGCTCATAAGTCAGAAAACTCATAAGTTGGGGCACTCGTAAGTGAAGGTACCCCTGTATTACTGATTACGAAAAGGATTTGGGAGTTCTGGTTAGCAGTAATCTAAAACCATAAGTGTTTGCAATAAAGTGAAGAGAATCCTTGGCTTCATATCAAGAAGCATAAATAATAGGAGTCCTCAGGTTGTTTTGGTCACCGTATTACAGAATGGATATAAGTGTTCTGGAAAATGTACAAAGGAGGATGACAAAGTTGATCCCACGTATCAGAAATCTTCCTTATGAGGATAGACTGAGAGCCTTGAATCAGCACTCTCTAGAAAGGCATAGAATTAGGGGAGATATTATTGAGGTGTATAAATGGAAAACAGGAATAAATAAAGGGGATGTCACTAGCATGCTAAAATTATATAGCCAAGACAGGGCTCACAGCAGTGGCTTTAAGTTGGAAAAATTCCGAGTCAGGAAGGATATAGGAAAGCACTGGTATGGTAACAGAGTTGTAGATGAGTGGAACGAACTCCCAAGTACCGTCACAGAAGCTAAAATGTTGTGTAATTTTAAAAATAGGTTAGATAAATACAGGAATGGGTGTGAGTTGGACCTGACTGACTAGTGCTAATAGATCTGATGCCACGCTCCTTCCTTAACCCTTTCAGGGTTTCCGACGTACTAGTGCGGCTTATGCACCAGGGTTATTGATGTACTAGTACACCTAAATTCTAGCGCTTTCAAATTTAGCCAGAGAAGGCTGGTATGCCTACATATGAAAGAAAGGGTCTATGTGGTCAGTGTGCACAATATAAAAAAAATCATGCAGCACAGTGCGTAATGAGAAAAAAAACTTTGACCATGTTTTTGGTTTAAAACTGCGACTTTGCACTGTATTTTTGTATGGTATTTATGGTTGTATTCTAGTTTTCCTGGTCTCATTTTGTAGAATGGATGATATATTACAGAAATTGAGACAATTTTGATTGGTTTCACAATGAAAAGTACGCACCTTGAAATTGAGCTCAAAGTAGCAGAAATGTTCGATTTTTGTCAGAGTTCAAAAGTAAACAAATCATGCCACACGTCCAATACACATCAACTGGCGAGTCTAATATTTTTTCACAAGTGCGCCAATATTATTTATACCATTTCTACACTAATGCAGTAGTCTGCATAACAGTAAATCTTCTATTTTTTGTAAGAATAAAAATTCAAAGTGGAAAGCATAAGAAATGTAAGAGGGGCCTGGGGATGTGACTAATGAACAGAGGAAATGTTATTTTAGTGCCAGGAATGTCTGTCTTGTCTATTCTGGACCCTGTTTGGAAATTGGCATCTTTTGAAATTGTGTGAAATTGACAAAATTGCTAAATTCTGACCACTTTATCGGATAGTTGAAATTGGTAAATGGGTGGTTTCTTGTACTCATTCTATAGAAAAAATGGAGTTCTAGTGGAATAGTTATGATTTTTGTCGACTAGTACACTGGAATTGGCCGGAAATAGGGCTCAAAGTGGGCAAAATCGCTGATACATAAACATCGTCGAGACCGCTAACTTTGCTAGAGCATAATTCCATAAGTTTTCCATCAAATTTCATACTTTTGGTGTCATTATGATCGGGAAAAGATTCTCTATCTTTTCATAAGAAAAAATATTTTTTTTTTTTTTAAATTTGGCCAACCCTGAGAACAAGTCTCTGAGAGGACCTGTCAACCCCCAAAGGGTTAAGAATTTAACTCCTAATAGGAGGTGCCTTGATGCCAGTGGGGCTCTTGATCCAAGGAATTGTACATATCCTCTCTTTCCTTGGAATGAACCTGATTACCTCCCATTTTCACCAGGAGCCTTTGTTGACCCCTATGAGTTTAGAATTCTCTCTCGTGAATATAATAATAGTAATTTAGGAATTTAAGGAGTACATTATAATAAAATCATATAATATAGAGGAAGAATAAATTCATTCATTATTGAAGTGCTTCATATATACTGTACTTGAAAGGATTATTGTATATTTACAGTATTACACGAAGGAAGCACAAGAGAAATCCTTGCTGGAGAATCACAGGGTATGCAAAGCTTTAATATTTTGTTCATTAAGTCTAAATGTGTATGCTTTGCAGTTAGTGCCATATCAAGATCCGTATGGCATCACTTTTTGGCATTTGTTGAGAGCTTCCTAGATTGAGCAATCTTTTGTTATACATGATTCATATACACTATCTTTTTTCTAATGATTTAATTGATGAAGTTTTGCATATGGTGTAATTCATGTAGCATAGTTAAAATTTGTAGCTGTGTAAGTTATCATAGTATAGTAATTGCCATTGTTTTTACTTTTATCTTCAGCAGATGTCTAAAGGACCAGGGCTCATCCTGCGCCGGATCCTCTTGGCTGTGTGTATTATCCAAGTCGTTATTACTGGTTACCTAGCCCTCTGCATATTCAATTCTGCATATTCTACTGTTAAAGAACTTAAAAGTTTCCCACAACTGCAGTCTAAACGAAAGGGTGAAAACAACCATGAAGGTGATGACAAAAAGGCTCTTCGTAAGTACTGTAAGGCAAAGATAAATAATATCTTTGATATGATTGAGCATACTTCTTTAAGTATAATGCCTAAATGTAAATAACATGGTACATAACATCTTCAGGCCTCAAGGAGCCCCATTTTTATGATCCTAATAAAGATTTATGTATAAATTTTATTATGCTGTCGAAGCCGGAAATTTGCGAGTTTTTTAAATCACATGCTTCTCTATTTTTACTAAAGGGTTTCTCATGAATAACCTTACTTTTATGTGATTTTTTCAGTGTTTTTTTTTTTTTTTTCACCAGCTCTGAATAGGGAACTAACCATTGGATTTCAAAATATGCTCTGTTAATTTTCCCATACTCAAATAGCTTTTTTTTTTTCTGGAACTCTTAAACCTCTGGAGGGAGATGCCTTGATGCAGTGAAAGGGCATTTGAACCAAGGAAGAGAGCATATCCTCCCTTTCTTTGCATTAAACCTAAATGCTTTCCCTTGAGATTAAAATTAAATAATACAGCTGAAACACAGGAAAAACCCAAATCTGAAAGAAAATAGTACAGAGAATTTTATATGAGCAAGTTCATGAGGCATCTAGGCATGTTGCTTTTGCTAATTTCAGGGTTCAACTGTATAACCAAGACTACAGTCTGACATATGGTAATATGAAATTTAAGTACAGTATAGTACTGCACTACCTTTGTACTTTTATATAAAAAAAGGTTTGAAGAGAAGGCTCCATGACTAAAGAGTGTTCCCTTGGGTTACAGTGGTCTTGAATTATGTTAATTTTGAGTTACAATTTACCCTCAGAGAAATTTAATTTTGCATTGCAGTGAAAAATTAAGATACTGCAGTATAATATAATAATATAATATATCTTCATTTCTAAAAGTACATGTACAAGGTATACAGGCCTACATGACATCAATGACATACAAATATATAGAAAGCCACTTGTTATGCAGAGCATTTTGAGCAAATTAGGTCACTTTTACTACCCCAGGGGGATGCAACCAAACCCCACCAATGTTTCTCCCTTTAACACCCAGGAACTCATTATTACCAGATGGGCCGTAACAATTCAGAAACCGGTTTGTAAAAACAGACAATGTTTCTTACATTGATGGGAGTGTACGGAGGTGAGTGTTAAGGAGGTATTCAAGTGGAGGAGGAAGGGAGAGTGTACATGTACCAGAGGTGGGCAGTGGGAGACAGTGACAACAAAAGTGTAAATATTAAGTCTACAATTCTTTACCAATCTCTGCCCTGCCCTACCCTCCCCTGCCCTGGCTGCCTGCCTTTACCTGCCTGCCTGCCCTTAACTGCCTGCCCTAACCAGCCTGCCCTAGCCTTCCTGCCTGCCCTGCTCTGCCCTATGCTGCCCTATTCTGTTACCTTACCTGGGCATAAGTGTATGAAAGATAGGCCCAGGTAAGGTAACAGAATAGGGCAGAGCAGGGCAGGCAGGAAGGCTAGGGCAGGCTGGTTAGGGCAGGCAGTTAAGGGCAGGCAGGCAGGGCAGCCAGGGCAGGGGAGGGTAGGGCAGGGCAGAGATTGGTAAAGAATTGTAGACTTAATATTTACACTTTTGTTGTCACTGTCTCCCACTGCCCACCTCTGGTACATGTACACTCTCCCTTCCTCCTCCACTTGAATACCTCCTTAACACTCACCTCCAACACACCCTCCACCATCAATCTAAGACCTTTTTATCACCTTGTCTCGTTTTTGGACTGAAGCCCACTCAGTGCGTGCTGACCATTGATTACTGTGGCCCGTGGCCTGGTGGCAAAAACTCTCCTTCACACAGTGAGGGTCCGGGTTCGATTTCCTGCGAAGGTAGAAACATTGGGCGTGTTTCCTTACACCGGTTGTCTATGTTCACCCATCAGTAATAATGAGTACCTGGGTGTTAGTTGACTGGTGTGGGTTGCATCCTGGGGGAAAAGTGACCTAATTTGCTCAAAATGCTCTGCATAACAAGTGGCTTTCTATATATTTGTATGTCATTGATGTCATGTAGGCCTGTATACCTTGTACATGTACTTTTAGAAATGAAGATATATTATTATATTATACTGCAGTATCTTAATTTTTCACTGCAATGCAAAATTATATTATTATACTCTTCTGTTGGGTGTCAATGCCTCTGGAGATTTCAAAATGAAACCTATACTTGTTTACAACTCAGAAAACCTTAAGGTGTTAAAATAACTAGAAGTATCCAAAGGTAGGTAGGGTGTGTTCTGGCATCTTGAAACAAATTACCACAAGACCTTGTATTTTGGGGTTTGAGTTATGATAGTTTTGAGGCACGATACATCTTCTGGAATGGATTGATATTGTAATTCAAGGGACCACTATTTCTTTAAAAAACTTAGAATAAAGTACTGTACTGTATGTGTAATTATACATAAAAAATGAAGATATAGTAATAATATTTTTTTTACAGATTTTGATATTGGGGAAAATCAAGCTGCTATAGTTCTAGCACAACAAGAAATGAAACCTCATGTAGTTCAGGGAATGGAGGTCAAATGGGATGATATACCTGCCAAGAAAGCAGTAAGTTGAAATATTTTAGCAAAATTAAAATCTCCCATCATTGCTCTATTATGATTAAATCTGCTAAGTAATTCTGTTTCTTCTTTGGATCCCTGGGAGCACTTTAAATTGATCCTACCTTGGAACATCCTGGAACTGACCCAGTTTTAACCCTCTTCCGGTGGTCAAATTTTGGTAATTTTTTTGTTCTTTACTACACCCAGTAGGGCTAAAAACCATGTCAGATCTTTTGTTAGATTTTTTTTGGGAGGTCAGATGGTATATTGACCCATCTGTAGTGCCCAAGATACTGCTGCCCGATAAATATAAACAAAAGAATAGAGGAGCATGGTAGTAGTCCCACTGGCCCATGCTAGGTCCCACTAGGCAGGTTCATTTTATAACAGTTTAAAGAAATTTGTAAATCTACAGAACTATTGCTTAGGAATAGTATCTTGGTCAATTGAGAGATGACTAAGTAATCTTATTTTATCAATTTTCCTCTACTGTCATTCAACATAAATTATATTATGACCTTACTCTGCACACATTCACTTCCACACTCCCTCCTTCCAATGTGATATCCAATTTTTCTTTACCTAACTCGTCTGATACTCTCATCACCTTACTCTTATCTATGTTCACTTTCAACTTTCTTCCTTTACACACCCTCCCAAATTCATCTACTAACTTTCGCAGCTTCTCTTTAGAATCTCCCAAAAAGCACAATATCATTAGTAAAAAAGTAACTGTGTCAATTCCCATTTTGTATTTGATTCCACATAATTTAATCTGACAACTTTGGGAAGGTGTGTAAAGGAAGAAAGTTGAAAGTTAACATAGATAAGAGTAAGGTGATGAGGGGTATCCAATGAGTTAGATAAAGAAAAGTTGGATATCACGGAGGGAGGGAGTGTGAAAGAAGTGAATGAGTTCAGATATTTAGTAGTAGACTTGTCAACAGATGGATTTATGAAGGATGAGATTAACCATAGAATTGAAGGATAAAAGGTGAGTGGTGCATTGAGGTATCTGTGGAGACAAAAAACATTATCCATGGATAAGTTCCAGCTGCTTAGGTATGGAAAGAATGAAGAACTCAAAAGGAGCACTATATACAGAACTCAAGAGGGTCACGTAAGGAACACGTAAAAGACCTAGGAATAATTATGTCAGCGGACCTTTCTTTTAAAGACCATAACAGGACAAAGATCACGACAGTCAGGAAGATGACGGGGTGGGTATTGAGAACTTTCAAAACAAGGGAAATAATGCTGATGGTGACAGTCTTCAAATTGCTAGTGCTCCCTCACTTAGAATATTGCTCAGTGCTGATGGCCCCATTCAAGGTAGGAGAAATATTGGAGCTGGAACAAATACAGAGATCGTTTACGGCTCACATTGAGCCAGTAAAGCACCTAAACTGCTGGGAATGCCTGCAAGTCTTGAACATGTACTCGTTGGAGTGGAGGAGAGAGAGGTACATGATAATATATACCTGGATTGTACTCGAGGGCTTGGTCCCAAATCTGCACACTGCCATAACAACATACTGGAGTGAAAGATATTGGAGAAAATGTAAAATAAACCCAGTGAGGAGCAGGAGGTGGTGGGGACAATAAGAGAACACTGTATCAACATCCGGGGTCCCAGACTTTCCAACATCTTACCAGAAGATATCAGAAACACTGCTGGAACAAGTGTAGAAGCCTTCAAGAGGAAACTGGACAAGTATCTTCACCAGGTGCCAGATCAACCAGGCTGTGATGGATATGTGGGGCAGCAGGCCTCCAGCAGCAACAGCTTGGTTGACCAGGCAAGCACCAGATGAGTCTGGCCCATGGCCGTGCTCAAAGAGTAGATAAACTCGAAACTCTTCAAAGGTATATAAAAGATAAGGCAGAGAAGGGGATGTATGAAAGTATAGTGGTACCAACACTCTTATCTGGGTGTGAAGCATGGGTTGTAAATGCTGCAGCAAGGAGGCTGGAGGTAGTGGAGACGTCATGTCTAAGGACATTGTGTGGTGTAAATACCATGCAGAGAATTCATAGTGTGGAAATTAGGAGGTGTGGAGTTACTAAAAGTATTATTCAGAGGGGTTGTTGAGGTGGTTTGGTCATTTAGAGAAGATGGAGCAAAATTGGAAGACTTGGAGGGTGTATAAATCTCTAGTGGAGGAGAGGAGTAGGGGTTGTCCTAAGAAAGGGTAAAACAGGTTTTGTGGGGTAAAAGAGGTTTTGTTTGCAAGGGGCTTGGAAATGCAGCAAGCGTGTGTGTGCATGTTAGGAGTGAATGGGGATGAATGGTTTTTGGGACCTGACGAGCTGTTGGAGTGTGAACAGGGTAATATTTTGTGAAGGGATTGAGGGAAACCGGTTAGCCAGACTCGAGTCCTGGAGGTGGCAAGCACAATGCCTGCACTTTAAAGGAGGGGTTTGGGATATTGGCTGTTTGGAGTGGCATCTAAACTGTCTTATCTGAGCACCTCTACAAAGACGAAGGAGTTCAGTTCCTAAGACCACATCGGTAAACGAATTCGTTTCTAAGTGAGGAGCATACTGTAATGGTAGTGGGTTTGTGTCAGCCATCTTTTATATTTTTTAATGTCACCTTTGCACCATTTATAATATTTCTGGTATATTTTTAAATGTTTATACAGAAGTGTACTGTATATTGTAATCAACAGAATAAGGAAATCAGCTCTAATATACAGTGGACCCCCGACATTCGAAGGCATCGACATTTGATAAATCCGACATTCGATGCATTTTAACGCAAAAATTTTGCCTCAACATTCGATGGAAAACCCGACATTCAATACGATTCGTACGAGACGTGTCCACGTATGGCCTGAACTGCCCCGTGTGTGCCAGTGTTTACAAGCCAGCCAGTGTGCGCACATCTAAAGATACATTCGGTACATTCCATATTATCCATATTATCACTGTTTTTGGTGCTTGTTTCTGCAAAATAAGTAACCATGGGCCCCAAGAAAGCTTCTAGTGCCAACCCTTTGATAAAAAAGGTGCTAATGACTACTGAAATGAAGAAAGAGATAATTGCAAAGTACGAAAGTGGAGTGCGTGTGTTGGAGTGCATGATGATTTGGTAAAGAAATTGCCTGCATCTAGTGGTAATGTTAGTGAAGTTCAGGCCAGCAAAGGTTGGTTTGAAAGATTTAAGAATCGTAGTGACATATACAGTGTGGTAAGGCATGGTGAGGCTGCCAGTTCAAGTTCCAATGGAAGGGGATTCCCCTTCTAAACACTAACACCATCCACACACTCCCCTCCTCCCATCCCATCAATCATCACCAGATCTTCATTAAAGGTAAGTGTCAATTATTCTATTGTTATTAATCTATTGTTATTGTTGTTATTGTAATTATTCTATTGCATTAAACTTAATATTTCATGTGGTAAATTTTTTTTTTCATACTTTTGGGTGTCTTGCACGGATTAATTTGATTTCCATTATTTCTTATGGGGAAAATTAATTCGACTTACGATATTTTCGACATTCGATAGCTCTCAGGAACGGATTAGTATCGAATGTCGAGGGTCCACTGTACATTATTTAGGTATGTATACTGGTCAGAGAGCCCGTCGTAAGTCTGAGTCATCAGTAAACGAGTACATCGCTAAGTAAGGAGAGGGTGTACTGCACTTCTTTAATCAACCCCTTCTTAAAAGCTCTTTACAGTATTTAGTACCTATTTCCATACACTTGCAATGTCTGCTACATTGCTCCCCTATCCACCCTATCATATGCCTTTTCTAAATCCATAAATGCAGTGAAAACTTCCCTACCTTTATCTAAATATTGTTCACTTATATGCTTCACTGTAAACACTTGGTCTATACGTACATTCCCTACTCATCCTAAAGCCTCCTTGTTCATATGCAATCCTGCTCTGTCTTATCTTTAATTCTTTCAATAATAACTCTACTATACACTTTACCTGATATACTCAGTAAACTTATTCTAAAATATCTGGGGAAAAGGAAGTAATGTACATTTGTTATGGATTCCATCACATATTAGATTATTCCTTTATGATAAAGTTGATAAATTAGCCAAAAAAGGTACTGTACCCTAAAGGAAAATGTAAAATATAACTTGTGTGTCCATGTCTAACATTAGGAATAATACATATTATGATATTGTGTTGGAGTGGTTGGTATTTTTGTTCAATAAATGTTTGAAAGAGGGGAAGGTACCTAGGGATTAGCAGAGAGCATGTATAGTTCCTTTATATAAAGTGAAAAATGAAAGGGGTAGTAAGTTGGTAGACAGCAACCACCCAGGGAGGTACTACCATCCTGGTACTTTCCTCCATAAGCCATGCGTGTTGTAAAAGTCAACTAAAATGCCGGGAACAATGGGCTAGTAACCCCTTTTCCTGTAATAATTACTAAAAAAATAAGAAGAAAATTGTCAAAGTGGGAAGTCTGAATGTGCGTGGATGTTGTGCAAATGATAAGAAATAGATGATTGTGGATGTTATGAATGAGAAGAAGCTGGATGTCCTGGCTTTAAGTGAAACAAAGATGAAGGGGGTGGAAGAGTTTCAGTGGAGAGGGTTAAATGGGATTAGGTCAGGGGTTTCAAGTAGAGTTAGAGCTAAAGAAGGAGTAGCAATAATGTGATGAATGGTTTAGAAAACCGACAAGTTGAAGAATTGAGACATTTATGCAACACATGGGAATCTTTATTGAAGAAACGTTTCGCCACACAGTGGCTTCATCAGTCCAATACAAAGTAGAAATGGGTAAGGAGAGGAGGAGTTCGAGGTAATCAGTCCCTCAACCTGGAATCGATGTGTTCAGTCCATCACTCTTGTAGGAAGTACAGTATAGGGCCAGAGAGGTGGCTTATATAATGCCGTCAGATGAGTTGAAGCAGGAGGAGGTGGGATCACAGTGGGACCTGCCACTAGTGTAAGTAGGTCGTTGTCCAAAGATTGGACAAGCGTTGAAGTCTTTGTACCAAGATCCCATGATGTTGCAGTGTCTGAC